CCCCCCCCCCCCGTGCTCTCTGTTTCTTCCCCCACAAGCACTCTTTAGTCCCTTCCCTTCCCATTGTACCTGGTGAGCTCATGGCTTAATTACAACCCCTTTGTGAGTCCTGTGTTGGCTAATTCTTTGCACCTTTTTTGCTGTCAGATGCCCTCTCGTGGGCCTGGTGTTTTAGCCACATGTTGCATCAGGAACGTTTGTGCTGTAACCAGCTAAACTAATTCCCCAGTTGCTGTCCTCTTCTGGCATTGCATTCCCCGTCGCCCATCTGTGGTGGGCTATGGACAGGCCCCAGGTCCGCTGGGCGGATCTTTAGGAGTGTGAATGCATTCTTGTAGCCTGGTTCTGTTTGGGAGGTTAACAGCCAGCTTTCCACACTGCAGGGGGTGGGTTACCGAGTCAGATTGGCTGGGAAGAGGATATGACGTATGTAGTAGTTGGACAGTTGGGATGCTCCAGCCTTAGCTAGGTGCAGAGTTCTCCATTGTGAAGGAGAGGAAGTATCTCTGGGAGCCCTCATTTTAAGAGACATGGATCATGGATTATTGCTGGGGTGGTGTCTCCGTGACAGTCTGTGAAAGAGTGAAGCAGATATAGGCAATGTCTACACTATCCTGCGGTTCAGACTCTGGGGGTGTGAATAGTAGTGCCTGGTGCACCGAAGTACTGCGCTATAGCTCTTCTGTATGGATGCAGCAGGTGCCAATTAAAAGGTTCCTAGTTCACATTAATGTAGCCCTGTTTGAAGAGGACTATGTTAACGTGAACTGGGAACCTTTTAGTTTGCGCCCGCAAAGTTCATGCAGGGGATTTATTGGGCAGCACTTTGGTGCACAAGACACTGCTGTCTTCACCCCTGTAGTCTGAACATTGGGGCAGTGTAGCCAAGCCTACAGAAACCTGTGTCTAACTGAACGGAATTAAATCTTTTCCAAGCCCAGTGCAACTGAATATGCTCTCTCCTCGTTGTTCCAGGAGCCTCCAAAGTCTGCTAAAAGCACCACAAAGCCCAGCAGCGGCAGCAGTGGTGGGAAGGATGGTGGGGCAGAGAATTCAGAGGAGGTAAGGCATTCATCTTGCAAAGCATCACACCTGTACAACTCCTCTCTTTTGTATGGCATCTTTCTTTCAAATTGTCTCTTCAACAGCTTTGCTGAATAAGGAACTTAATGCGCTTAAACGTGGTACTTAATGTCAAAGGTAGAGAGAGGCAGTTGGAGGCAGGAAGGTAGTTGGAAAAGACAGAGGGTGAGAACTGAACCCTGTGGCATTCCATAGACATAGAGACTTGAAGGGGAGCGCAGTTAGATATGCCAGAGCCACCTATGCGGATGGGCTAGAATACAGTAGTGAAGCCTGCATTGAGAGCAAGGACAATGGAGAGGAGAAGCTATAGCTAGCAGAAAGAAGGAATCCTGAATGGAACAGAAGTTTCCTTGGCATGGTCCAAAATGTTATTGAGAGGCGAACTGAGTGGTAGAAGAGAGCTTGCAGTTTGCTTGGGAGGGAGAGGCAAGTGCAGGGATAAATTGACATCAGAGTTCCATTAAGCATGGGGAGAAAAGTGGTGGATTTGAGCGATACGGAGAAGGTACTAGAGGAAGTTTGAGTTTCTCACTATTGTAACACCCTGACTTTCAGCAGAGGAAGAGCTGACATATGCAAACACACATTCTATATTAAAAGTGCTACCCAGAGCACCCTGGGCGCTGATGCTGCCAAGAAAGACACATCTGGAGTAGTGTCAATACAGAGTAACTTGCTATAACAAATGATGTCGCATATTAACACACAGTTTTTCTGGAATTAGCAGGAACTCAGGCACATATGAATGTTTTGGTAAGATTGAGCTCATTCAGTGTTCAAACAGTGTGGTTGTCTTGGGCTCTGGAGATAGAGACCCAGCCTCCAGAAAGCATTTTACTCGCCATCTAAGGAGGCATGCTTATTTTTTCCATTAATTTAGTTTTTCAGGCAAGACTCTCCCCACTTCCATCTCAATCTAGTACAGTCCGATTAGGAGGCTGTGTGCTTAAGTCTTCGCTATGTGCTGTTCTTGAGAAATTGGAATGTGTTGCACTATAGCTCTAGCCTGGGAATTAGAGGTTATTGACTTGTTTAAAGTTAGAGAGGGGAGGAAGGGTAAAAAGTCAGCAATTCAGTGGGGCTGTGTATCATCAAAACAGAGTATTCATTTATAACCCCCCATCCCCAAAGATAAACACATTACATTTATAAACGGCCCAAGCAACATCTATACTGATAGTAGTTGCTCCTTCTGAAAACCCAGTGTTAGAGCTTATGCCTAAACGAAGGTGTAATTGAAACAGAGTCTGAAGCTGGAGTAGTTTGCCTTGGGGACTCCCGTTTAGTGATCCGTGGTCTCCGCTCCATTTTAGTCTCAGCCTCTTGGTCCCCACTCCTTTCCCATGCTGGATTTTCCCCTTTATTTGGTGTGTACGGTTTTAAAAACAATTTCCCACCTTAGTTCCTCCTGGCTAGATGGAAGCAAGGGGACACCACCACCAGCCACGTGAGTTAATCCTTTCCTCTTGTACGGCAGTCGTGATCCTTGGATCCCACAGCGCTGTACAGAAGAACCCAAGTCTCATGTCGTCAAACACAAAGGTGGCCAACAACAATCTGAAGCAACCAAATTAATATTGGGCAGTTCCCCAGTCAGGTTGGTGAGAAGCTGCAGTGCTGCATTCCAAGGACCAAGTGATGCAGTATGAGGGTATAAATAGCATCGCTCGCAAGCTTCCTTCAGTGACCCAAAATGGCAAATACTGTTGGTTGCTACGGAGGTAGAAGAAACCTAGAATGGTTTTTAAAAAAACAACAAAACAAACCCCAAGCCTGTTGAGGCAGAACGTCAGCTCTCCTTTGGCGATACGGCCAGGAGGAGGGAGAAGCCAGCTCTGCAGTGTGCTCCCTACTGTGGGTTTCTTCTCCTCCTTTCCCATTAGGGTTACCTGTAAGGCTCTGTTAAAGACTGTTTTTCCTCTTGTGCTCTCTCACCCTTAGCGGCAGACCGCTCTCTTATGGAATGGATGAGTACATCTCTTGACAAGTAACCTTTTTTTTTTTTTTTTTTTTTTTTTTTTTTTTTTTCCAGTAAATAAATTTTTTTTTTTTATTTCTCAGAAACATTCATACAGAACTATCAGCAGACATACTTGTAAGTCAGCAGTCCGTCACATGTTGTTACTACCTGAATATTTGGAGGATGGATTAGTTGGTGAATGGAACAAGAGATGTGCATTGTGTGTCATCCTTTTTGTGGAAGGCAGAAGGGAGCTTGGGTCAGTGAAGCGTCCATGAATGTGTTTGAGGGGTAAGGTATGTGGGCTGAAGTTGGACTGGATTTGAATGTTGCCCTAACTGGGGATTTCATAGTTTGTCACTGATTGGTTTGAGAGAGGTGAGGTTGCTCAGGTGCATTTCTTAAGAGAAGTTTTGTTTCCTTTGGGGGTTTTTTTGGCGGCGGGGGAGAATTTTCCTGTTTTGAAGTGATCAATAGACATTTAAATGAGTACTGTATAGAGCAAGAGGGCAACCCTGCTCCAGCACGTCTCCCTGTTCCCTCCCACCACATCGCAGGAAGACGCAGGCGTCTTTCAGCCAAACTTGCCTCTCAAACAGAGTTTCAGATTCTGCTTCCAGAACAAAGCATTTTCCCAACAGGCTAAGGCTCTCCGCAGAGAAGCCCTGCTCTGGCGGACTTTACAGGTGCAGCGGATTGGGACTTTTCTGGCAGGTCTACAGGAGGGTGAGGCAGGTGAGGGGCTGGCAGCAGGCTTGGGAACCTGCACTAAGCCCTTGGTTTCAGCACTTTGACGCCTGTGCTGTAAGCAAGTGGTGAATTCCGCTGTCGTGGACGAGCAAATAAAACTACCATGCAAGCCAATCATGGATCTATACTGGAGAAGGGAAACCTTGAAATCCATATGCGAGTGCAAAGACCCGCCAGCCCTTCAAAACATTCAGCAATGCCAGTGATGCGGGAAAGCAAAAGGATGCAGGATTAGTTCCTATAAGATGTACATTCATTTCTACCTGGTCAAGAGGTCACTGAGCTAAGGTGAAAGTATCAACGGTCAAGTGGCAGCAGCACTTAGTAGATAGGCACGGGGCTTGTAAGGTGCCTACTTTGCTCCGAAAGAGAAGTTACCAGTGCTAGGAGTCTCAGGAGTAAATCTGGGGAGATGGGGGAGAAAGGGACCTCTGGGGAAGTGGTTTCCTTTAGGGACTGGATGATGATGGGAGAAGGTGTCAGTGCAGATCTTGGGGGAGGAGATGCTGCTGCAAATCATTTCAGTATTAGCTGGGGGAATGAGGAGGAGGAGAGTTACTCATCTCTAGCCAGAGAGAGCCTGGGAGGGGCAGGTGAGGTGGGTGGGTGGAAGAGAATTAATGGCCTGGAAGCGGGAGGGAGGCTTGCCAGCGCATTGGAAGGAAGGCAGGATGGAGAAGTTGCTCTGCAGCCTGGAAAGCAGCTCGGGAGAGCCAGGGATGAGATTCCCAACTCATGGGGCTCAGGGACAGGCCTGTTGTTCTTTGAGTTGCTGTCTCATGCACTTCAGAGGCGTTTCTGTGGGACTTGTCACTGCAGTACACTGGGAAGTCTGCAGCTGATTGAACTAGGGTTGCTTCAGGTGTGGGAGGTGGATTTTAATAGAGGCAGTTGGCTAAAGGCAGTAGAAGAGACACTTGTATGTATCGGCTCCAGGGGCTGGAGAAGAAGAGTCAGCAAAGAAGGGGCTGACAGCAAATCTGGGCTGAAAAACTTGGTGAGCTTAGGAGCTTGAGAAAACTGTGAGGCAGGATTGCATACCAAGGGGTGAGGCAGCGGAGAGAGCATTCTGCCACAAATAGGAGTGGCTGGAGTATGTGAGAGCACGGAGAGGGGAGCCTGTGAGCTCAAGGGTGTGGCTGGGAGAATGACATGCAGGCTCTGGGAGTCCAGGATGAAGTGTAGTTCAAGGGCCTGGGGCTTATCCGTGGATACATGAAGGCCTCCCAGGGAGGAGGAGGAGAAGAGGAGGGAGGGTCTGGCTATGGGGAGGAAGAGTCTGTGAGAGTGGAGAACCCGAACTTAGCTTTGGTGGTGGCTGGCATGTCCTCTGGGCCTGAGCAAGGGGGCTGTGCCGGGAGGAGGTAGCTTCCACACTCACTGAGTCAAACGTTGACGTTCGTTTTTAAAGCAGCCTTCAGAGGGGAATAGTGTAGCGTAACAGCCTCCCTGAGCTGCCTTGCCTTGGTGTAGTGTGAAGGCATCTAAGTCTGTCTTATCCGGCTAGGAGATGAGTGCCCAGCCTCATTCTTCTCAGAGACCAGCCAGCGGCTGAGCAGTGTTAATCTGGAGAGAAGGGTTTTTAAGGTGGACATCTCTGTGCATTAAGTGACAAGCTTTCAGCTTCAGTGATCCATTTATGTCTGCTGCATTTTCAAGGCTAGAAACTCTTTAGAAGAAAATGCAGAATCGTCTTCTGAGTTTGCATTTCCCCCCCGTCCCCTGGCCCAGTCAGGAGTGGGTGGGGGACCCCGATGGGCTGGCTCTGCTGGCAAACCTGTGGGACAACAAACCTACACGGGTAGTGCGTGATGAGAGTAAGAAGTCCGCCTGGTGCTGATTTCCACTAAAATCTTTCAGAGCACAGCCGTGTGAAGGAATAACTATCAGCCCCGCATCCCCAGCCTGAGCTGGGAGTGCACAGCGCCCCTCCCTGCGCAGAGAGGAGTTCTGTGTGTTCTCAGGATGTCTCTGTTGGACTTTTCTCCAGCCAGCAAATCTTCGCTATTCTTTTGACTCCCCAGCTGTTGAAACCTTACGCAGTGCTTCCCTCCCTCTACAGCAGCTATTCAAGGCTCTTCAAAAGCAGGAGTCGTAAAGTAGCAAGGCCCTTCCCAGACTCCTAATGAAGTGACTACAGCCAGACCCTGTTCGTATGCAGCGTGCTCTCTGAGCTGGCAGAGTTCCCTGTCGCCTCTCCAGGTGAGAAGGGGGGACCAGGAGACGGGAGAGCCCGTCAGTTTCAGATGTCTTTTGAAAGTACTGT